GCCCACGAGCAGCAGAGCAGCTGGGTCGTTTACTGAGCGCTGTGATCTTTCTTCCCCTGGAACTCTTTATTTCAATAGAGACCTTAGAAAACACGAGATACACTACATAATAAAAGACGATAATCTGTGAGTTGTAAAACAGCCTGGTTTCCTGACATTCTTTCCTCCTCCGAGTCCAGTGTTCTCTGTGCTCAGGGCGTGGCCACCCACCTGCACACAGGTGAGTGTGTTCTTGTGCAGAAGCAGCCAGCAATCACCAGTTACAGCCGAAAGTGACCTCCTGACTCTGCTGGTTCACCGGTTGCCACTGTGACCGAGATGGTGGCTCAGAGCGGGGAAAGTCACTAGAAGCAGGTTGGCAATGGAGGAGGAGAACGATCCTGGGGTGCCCTAGAGAGGCAGCCTCAGAGGAAAGGGCTGGGGAGCACAGGTGGCTGAGGAGGCAGTTCGGTGTCTCATGGGCTGTGTACCTGCCCGTCTCCGGGAAGGCTCCCACGGGTTCCCAGGCCCGGGTCAGGACTGAGCACTGGAGTCTCAGCTCTCTGCTCATCCTGCCAGGTGGCTCTTGGACAATTGCTCCAGCTCTTCATGCCTCAGGGTCACCCAGGGTGGAGTCCCAGCATCACGTCAACAGGCTGATGGGCAGCTGGGACGGCGCTCAGCACCGCTGTGGCTTGAGTGTATGTCCCTTCAAAACTCCGAAGCTGGAACTTACCCCAAGATGATGGTATGGGGGATGTGGTGCCCCCGGGAGGTGACTAGGCCATGAGGGCTCTGCCAGACCCTTCCGTCCCTTCTCCTACACGAGGACGCTGGAGGAAGTGCTGCCCTGGAGACAGCCCTCAGCAGACACCGAATCTGCCAGGCCTCTGCCGGCACCCAGATCTTGGACTTCCCAGCCCCCAGATCTGTGAGAACTGAGTTTCTGCTGTTTGTCACCCAGTCTGTGGTATTTTGTAGAACAGACCAGGAGTCACAGTGAGCACCTGCTGTCCTGAAGGCTGCAGCTACAACGTTAGTACCAAGGACAGAGCTATAGCCCAGCCACCCACCCCCCCGCCCGCCCCCCAGCAGGCTTCCCTGGAGACCAGAGCTCCTAGCAGGGTCTGAATTTGCACCGAACTGGACAGAAATGGCGTGAATGTTCACATGTTAACTCTGACTTCGTTAAGGAAGGGGCACGGCTGCTTCTCCACCAGTATCCTCGAGCAGCAGAGTTCGCAGAGGCCGCCTCCAGGTGGGTGAGCGAGGTGTGCTCAGCTCGGGCAAGGGCGAGGGCCAGCTGCAGGCACCACGGCCCGCAGAGCGTCGCTGAAGAGCAGAGAGGACTTTGAAAAAGGGGATTGGAAATGTAGGTGAACTCGCACGAGTTCACAGGTTACCTGGGTTTTAAGCCTTACTGTTCTTCAGCACACTCTGTTCCGTTTATGCTTTCACCCCAGAATTAAACTTCTTTTCTCCAATCTGGAGATGACATGGCCCATTTCTCTGAAAGGAACTTGGCAAAACGCAACTCTGTAATTTAAGGCAAATTAATGGGGACAGTTTAAAATTCACCCTCGTGAATTTTGGTCTTAGTGAAGTTTGGTTGTATTATTCTCAAACTAACATAAGACAATTAGATCACTGCTTTAAATGCCTACTAATGATTTTTAAACCAGCTAATGAATATGGCAGGTTTTCTGTAAATAACGCTGCAGAATTATCTGCAATCTTGCTTCTGGTACTTCCATTACAAATTTGGATTGACTAGAGTAGAAGCCCTGCTTGAAAACTATTCCAAACACAGCTGAGCAGAGGCAAAGCACAGGAAGACCCTCCCTGCATAATGATGCGATCAGGGACAATCAGAGAAAGCTGCAGGCCCAGACGGTCAGCAGAGACATGAGGGGGCCTTCGAAATGAAAGCACTTCTCTACCAGCACGTTAGACAAAACCACAGCAGAAACAAACCCAACAAAATTCAAGAAAAGGGAAGCTAGCTATGATGACTTTGTTTTTTGAGACAGTCTCTGTCTGCCGCCCCAGGCGGGAAGGCAGGGAACAACCCTCTCACCTCAGCCTCCTGACTACAGGTGCACACCACCATGCCCAGCTAATTTTTTTTCTACAGAGATGGATTTTGCCACGTTGCCCAGGCTGGAATCAAATGGGAGTTTCAAGCAATCTACTGGCCTCGGCCTCCTAAAGTGCTGGGATGCTAGGTGAGAGCCACCATGTCCAGCCTGTGATGATGTTTTAAAGGACCAAACTCATTTACACTCAGGCAGGGATGAAGACCAGTATTTGAATCCACGCAAACACACTGACACATGCCCTTGTGAACTTGAACACAGCCATGCTGGACGCAGGCCTTGATATGGTTTGGCTCTGTGTCCCCACCCAAATTTCATCTGGAATTGTAATTCCACGTGTTGAGAAGTGATTGGATCATGGGGGCAGTTTCCCTCATGCTGTTCTCCTGATAGTGAAGGAGTCTAACAAGATCTGATGGTTTTAAAAGCAGCAGTTTTTCCCATACTCACTTCCCCTTCCGCCATGATTGTAAGTTTCCTGAGGCCTCCCCAGCCACGTGCGACTGTGAGTCCATTAAACCTCCTTCCTTTACAAATTACCCAGTCTCAGGCAGTTCTTTACAGCAGTGTGAGAACCAACTGACACAGGCCTGAACACCAAGAGGCAGACCTGCACTGAGTCTGTTTCTTTCATCATCAGGAATAGCCATGCGCGACCTTAAAGTGGCCATCCTTGACTCTGTCACTATGGACTGTTCGGCATGTTACCCAAAATGCTGACCGCTATTAAATCCAGAATGAAATTCAGGTATGCTGCTAGAAATTCCAATATTCAAATTACTGTAAGAAAATCATTTACATCAAAAGGTGAAGGACGTTCAAGGCCCATGCTGAGCAGCAGGGAAGATCAGATTTCCATACCCAACTCTACTGGACACATGGTAGTTAGAAAACAGATGCACACCCAAAGCCTCCATCGACGTGAGTTCACTCTGTGTCTGCGCCACAGGACACAGGAGGCACCTGCTGCGATAATGCGCTGAGGACCTTGCTGCTGGTGGGGAACAGCTCTGTAGGTCACGAGGACCCCTGGCATGAAGTCCACAGGCACAGGCACCCACCCTCCTGCATTCATCTCTCGTGTGTGTGTGTGTGTGTGGCAGCCCGCAGCTGGAATCCAGGCGTGACTCAGGAGAGCAGGGCATAAAAGAATCTGGCTTCCCTGGCTCTGCTGGGACCTGCACTCCCCGAATCCAGCTCCCAGTGTGGAGAGGGATGGGGAGCCCACTCACAGCCCTGCTTAGCCCCACAGAGAGCTGACCCAGCACTGCTGACACGTGGCAATAAGTCACCTTTGAAGGGGCCCGTTCAGGCCCCAGAAGAGCCCCCAAACTTCCCCTCCCAGCCCCAATGAAACTGCAAATGAGCACATGTCCCAGCAAACTAAAGAGCGCTGCTGAAGCCCTGGGCAGCTCCTGCATCACGGGGAACCCGAGGAGGGACCCACACAGTGAGTCCTGTCCTGCAGAGTGAGCAGGAGGGATTTGCACTTTATAGGACAGCATTCTCCTTGCACGAGCGGCTTTCAAATGTGGCAACTTCACAAAGATGAGCTAATGTAGTTTGTGTTCTTCTTTAGGAAATTTTTTATAAAATAGGGGAAATGTGCACGCTCTGAAAAATGGCAGTGCTAGGGGCTGAACAGTGTCCCCCCAAATGTCTTACGTCGAAGTCCTAACCAAATGTGACTGTACCTGGAGGTGAGGTCTTCAGGAGGTAATTAAGGTGACATGTGTCCTAAGGGTGAGGTCCTAATCCGACATAATTGTGGTCCTGTAAGAGGAAGAGGGCCAGGTAGCACATGCCCGGAATCCCAGCACTTTGGGATGCTGAGGAGGCGGGGACTGCTTTAGCCCAGGTGTTCCAGACCAGCCTGTGCAACATGAGCAAGACCGTCTCTACAAAAAATTAAAAAATTAGCTGGGTGTGGTGGCATGCACCTGTGGTCCCAGCTACTCGGGAGGCTGAGGTGGGAGGATTGCTTAAGCCCCAGAGGTCAAGGTTATAGTAAGCACTGACTTCATACCACTGTACTCCAGCCTGGGTGACAGAGCAATGCCCTGCCCCCATCAAAAAAAAGAATGTGGGGACAGGAGAGTCATCTCCATCTGTACCATCTCTAGCATAGCTACAATACCACCGTATTATTTATTTATTTATTTATTTTGAGACAGAGTCTCACTCTGTTGCCCGGGTGGAATGCAGTGGTGTGATCTTGGCTCACTGCAACCTCTGCCTCCCGGGTTCAAGTGATTCTCCTGCCTCAGCCTCCCAAGTAGCTGGGATTACAGGCATCCACCACCTCGCTAATTCTTGTATTTTTAGTAGAGACAGGGTTTCACCATGTTGGCCAGGATGGTCTTGGTCTCCTGACCTTGTGATCTACCTACCTCAGCCTCCCAAAGTGCTGGGGTTACTGGCATGAGCCACCATGCCCAGCCAAATACCACCATACTCTTAAGTGTGCAGCTGAGAAGAGAGTCCTCCTCAGAAGCCAACTGGGCTGGCAACCCCGTCCGTCAGACCTGCAGCCTCTAGACCTGTGAGGAAATACACTCCTGTGGCTGAAGCCGCCCAGCCTGCTGGTATTTTGTGATGGCGGCCCCAACAGCCCCATGTGAGTGGCCTGACTTAGCGACCGCTCAACCTCACCGTGGTGCTGAAGGGACGCACCCGGGGACAGCCATGCCTCGGCGCCCATGCGGCCCTTCCGTGTCCACTCTCCGTGCAGCACCCAGTCAGCTACACGAGGTATCTACACCTTAGTATAAAATAAAGTCGCCTTTGTGTTTGGTTTTGCCCAAGTGGAGGCTTCGTTAAGGAAAGCTAGAGTGAGCCATGATGTTTAGTAGCGGGTGTATTAAATGCATTTTCAACCTAAGATGGTTTTTTAAAAGAAAGTTTTTTTTTTTTTTACAACTAAGCAAAAGCAAATAAAATAAGTTTATTGGGATGTAACCCCATCATAAATTGAGGAGCATCCATACGGGCAAGCTATAAAATCTGGAAAATTTAAATCAAATTAAGTTCTCCTTTTAAAAAGATGCCTTAAGTTAACCAATCACTTTGATGGCATAAAATATTCAAATTTAATATATAAAAATAGATGAATCCTGGAAGATACAATGAAGAACATGCCATGTGTATAAATTCAGAATACCCTTCTTGTACAAAAAAGTCACAAAGACAGTCTTCAGGAACCACGATTAGGAGAAGTGAGTCGGAGCTGCCTTCACACAAAGCCTCCTTCAGAGAAGTTTCACAAAGACTCCAGAACCAGCTGAGTTTTGTGAAAAAGGAAATTCCAGGTTTTCATGAGGCTGAAATTAGTTACACATGAAGGAGGAGACTGAGTCAGGTGTGCTGAAACACTCAGCCTCAGCGTCCCTGGGAAAAGCGCCTCCAAGAGTTCCAGCTTCAGAGAGCCTCGTCGCAGTGCCGGGGGGTCTCATCAGCACAACCAAAACGGAAACAACTGCCCCCCATCCTCAGGGCTACGTGTACATTCAACACACCGTGGACAGCGGAGGAAACGGGTTTTGCTTGCTGACCACGAGCTTCTGATGCTGATGCGATATGTAGCCTTTGATGTGACCCTGGAGGAGAAGAGGAGAGGAATTAGTTTACATTTTTGGATCAGAGTCCTGTCAAAGATGCTGGGTGATTTAATTAATTTGGCATTAGCATTATTCCCCAAGAGCAACACAGCTGAGTTCAGTGGGAGGACAACGAATAAAAATAAATACAATCGACCCCCTGTATCCAATGGTGAGTTTCACATTCATGAATCCAACCAACTGTGGATTGAAAATATTTGGAAAAAGACAAAAACACAAATGCATCTGTATGAAACACTTACAGATGCCCTTCCAGGCCACGAGTCCCTAAACAATGCAGTGTAACGACTCTCTCCAGTGCACTGAGTATGATAAGTCACCTAAAGTTAATTTACAGCATGCAGGAGGATGTGCAAATACTACATCCTATCAGTGACTGGAGCAGCTATGGATGTTGCTATCCGAGGGGCATCAGAGAGTCAACAGATACGGAGGGATGTACCGACGGCAAAGAATGTACAAATGGTCGGTCACGGCGGCTCATGCCTGTAACCCCAGCACTTCGAGAGGCCGAGGTGGGTGGATCACCTGAGGTTTCGAGTTTGAGATCAGCCTGACCAACGTGGAGAAACCCTGTCTCTAATAAAAATACAAAATTAGCTGGGCCTGGTGGCACATGCCTGTAGTCTCAGCTACTCAGGAGGCTGAGGGAGAAGAATCGCTTGAACCTGGGAGGCGGAGGTTGTGGTGAGCTGAGATTGCGCCATTGCACTCCAGCCTGGGTAACAAGAGCGAGACTCCAACTCAAAAAAAAAAAGCAAACATATGGAGTATCCATCCCCTCATGCTCCTAAGGCCCTGGTGAATGGTATTTCCTGGGCTAAAATTAGTTCTATCAAAAAATACCTTCAACAAAAGCAAAAGGCCTTTTTAACCATTTTAACACCCCCACACTGAAGCTTCAAATTCTGGGCTGAATCCTGCTATGAGTAGATGCTTCGATGAAAACCAGGACTCACACACCATGTATATCAAGTTAGCCAGAATGCACTGGACTTCGTCAATGTCCACGTCCTCCACCTGCATGAATTTCAAGGCAACCAGAAAAGCATCCAGAGACAGCTGGTGTGTTTTCAGTAACAAATAGCTGGAAGAGGGAGAAGAGCACTGTGGTTACCGACAGGACACAGCACTCCAACGCCAAGAAAAGGCACTGTGAGTCAGCAGGGAAAAAGCAGCTTTCACCAAGCCCCTGTTCTAAAGCAGTAGAAAAGTTCCCACCTATTAGACAAACTCGAAAATACACTCAAAGAACTATTAAGTCTAATTTCAGTTTTCAATCTTGAAAAAGCCACTAGTACAAATTTTTAAGAATTTTCTAAGTATTTCATTCATCTAAGGTGTATTTTCACATGTTAATCTCCCCCAAATCAGGAGGCACCCAACAATGGGCTAAGCCTCCTGGATTCAGTGAAACAGGGTCCCTCCTGTCTGTGACGTGGTATCCACAGCTCCATACAAAGTGGGCCTCTGCCTGAAGTTTACTCAACTGAGACCCTGCGGGGACAGGGCCTCAGACGACGCGTGAGGAGAGGAAAGGGGTGACGCTCTCTGCATCTGCCTCTGTGGCAGGCGGGGTGGCTGGAGGGCTGGTAGGTTACGAATAAGGGAGGTGGGTAGGTGGTGAGTCCTACGAGCCCTGATGAAATGTGGGGCTGCCGCTCTCAGGGCTGATGTTTTCAAGTCTTCTCACGCAGAACCTGCTTACCTCCCCGAGAAGTCCAGGCACAGCCTGAGCTACTCAACGTGTCTCCACGCAAGGCCCCAGGAGGCAGTGGACCGAGGCTTCACTTCAGCCCATACAAGGGAAGGAAGATGGCGGCCCCACCCACGCGGCGGCTGCAGCAGCCTGGCCCTCTGCTCTGCGGAGAGCCCCACTGGGAGCCCAACTGCGCAGGGGAAACACTTACACTTTTTTAAAGAGGTTCCTGTAGGTGATGATCTTCAGCTTCTCGAGGATGAGGAAGATCCCACAGCGAATGAAGAAGGCCTCGTGCTTCGCCAGCGCCTCATGCAGCAGCAGCAGGTTGCCCTCGCTGGTGACGGAGGAGGCGTGTCAGAAGCAGGGCGAGTTTCTCACACAGCAATCACATCGACTCTCATCGGGTTTGCATTTTTAAAAACCCCAAACAGAAAAGACAGCATACTCTACCTCACAGCTCTGGTGACTTCTGCAAACTGCATCAGGTGATACTTTTTCAGAAGCTCAACAGTGGGCATGTGACCCTAAGACAGTCAATTTTCCAGAATGAAAAAGCTTTCATTTTTGACAAAATTGTCTTTGATAAAAATTCACATCAAGGAATTAAGTTTAAAGAAAACTGCAACCTGAGTGAGTTTCTTAGCGTGTCCATGGATCACACACACCATAGCATACTAGGAAAACACTGGTCTAGAAATCAGAACACCTGGGTACAATACAGTTTTGTCATTCTGTGACTCCTGATCTTGATCTTGACTTTCTTACACCTCTTTGAATTTCTGTAACAGGAGGGGAGTGGTAACTGAAGAAATGCCAGTATAAGCATGAGCTGTGGGAATGAGGAAGTAGCTTCCAGAAAAATCAGCTAAGAATTTGAAACTGGCTGTCTCTTAAGTAGGGTTAGAATTGAGAAGGCCAGGACCACATCAGCACTCTTCCATCACAATCCATTCTGGACTACGGCAGCTTTAGCCACCTGTGTGTAATGCTTTCTTCATTAGTCAATTAACTTACTAGTTATTTCAAGTATCAAAACTACATTTTGGTAACTAAATGAAATACCCACAGAGGGGCTGAAAGGATGTTTTTCTTTCTTTGTGAACCCACCGCTTTTAACTTAGGTTTTAAGGGAAAATACAAGTGATATGTACTTGTTTTATTATATGTGAAACTCTTGAGTTAAATACTTTCATGGGAAACAAGACACAGGGAAAGCTTTTCTAGAAGGATCGAGGCGTAAGGCATGAAGCTCGGGTTGGGGTCACACCAGTGCCTGCTCCTTCTTTATTTTGGGGTGTGCTCACACACAACTCAGACTGAACAGCTACAGACTGTCTGCTAGGTTTTAAGAAACCTATCAGCTGTCAACTGCGTGAAAGCACCAGGAATTATAAACATGGAGTAACAATCACTCACCAATAGCATTTTTACTGGAAGCAAATAGATGAGAATCATCCTTTTGTTCTTCTGACTGGAACGGTGGCAATGCTCAAAGGCAAACGACAGGTACTCTTCAGCTACGAAGAAGGCAGAGCCGGCACACGTGAGACCTTGGCTGTTCCAGCACTGTGTCAGGCCCTTCATGCTCCATATTCTACCATCGTATGCTGATTTAAAGGGCAAAACCCCTCCCTTGATTATCTCAAAAAATACCAGCCAGTTTCATTTCTGTGAGCGATGACTTTTCTTAAGTAAAATCCATAGCCCCAAATTCACCAGGAATTGCCTGGGAAGTCCTACTTAACAGAGGAATCTGAAAACCAAATTCCACAGATTCTGATTTGCCTAAGAGCATCTGGGAAGCCATGATAACATTTTAAAAGTTTGACCCTGTTCAGATGGTTTCTACATGCATGAAAAATATAAAGACATGGTTAAAAGTGGACCTGCACAATACATTTTAATCACTCATTATTAAACAAAATGAAAATAACTTAGCAAAACATCACCTCCAGCTTAGCATACAATTCGGGGATCAAAATCACCACTTACTTTAAAAAATTATCTTACTGTTGCCGGGCGCGGTGGCTCAAGCCTGTAATCCCAGCACTTTGGGAGGCCGAGGCGAGTGGATCACGAGGTCAAGAGATCGAGACCATCCTGGTCAACAAGGTAAAACCCCGTCTCTACTAAAAATACAAAAAATTAGCTGGGTGTGGTTGTGCGTGCCTGTAATCCCAGCTACTCAGGAGCCTGAGGCAGGAGAATTGCCTGAACCCAGGAGGCGGAGGTTGTGGTGAGCCGAGATCGCGCCATTGCACTCCAGCCTGGGTAACAAGAGCGAAACTCCGTCTCAAAAAAAAAAAAAATTATCTTACTATTAATAGTATATGACATATTCATTCTGTCCTGATAGCAATATCAAAAAAGCATTCCATTTCATATGAAACAGATTTGAATTTAATAGACTTCAAAATATGAAAACAATTCTACTTGTCCAGATTAATCCTACAAGCTGCACACGACAGGCCCGCGAAGAGTTCTGCTCACGCTAAGGAGAAACCCTCAGAACAGGCAGGCTCCGGGGAGCTGAGCCTTGTCCTGAGGCTGGAAAGCTGAGAGCAGAGGAAACGACAATTCCACATTTTCCCTAGGTGACAAGAAGAGACCTTGCTGAGGCTGGGTTTGGGTCAACAATTAGGAAAGTGAGATGTTCCTGTTTATGTAATTCTTCCTGAACAGTGTATTAAGTCCCAAATATAAGAGAAGAGAGATGCTCAGAGCTGCAGCAGTGCTCCCCTATGCAGAACGGGTCACCAGAAGCAGCAGGCCCCGGGTCTGGGTCAAGGCCGAGGGAACTCACACTGAGACCCACTGTCTCTGCTCCTAAACTGTGTGGCCACATGGGCACAGTAAACACCCAGTCTGCACAGGGAGCGTGAATGCTGTGGGGTGAGAGTGTCTCTTCCAAACCACGAAGTCTTGCCCCACCAGGAACCCTGTGGGTGGAGACCAAGGAACGGGATTCACGGGAAGTCTGCAAAATCCCACCAGCTGCCAGTTTGACCTTTGCTACTGCCCAAGGTAATCTCAAATTCTCCTGGGTGTGCAAAACGTGCATTTTCTAATAGTTAATGCAAGCTGAGATTTTTCTGCTGCCTCTGAGGGAACTCTAGTCATTTTGCATTAAATAATATATTTCGGTTGGAGTCAAAAATATCTAGAGGAGTATAAATCTGTGAAATTAATAAACTAAAGAAAGTATATTAACAACTGAGATACTCCAAATATTCTTACATAAATAATATAAAATCACAGGAAAGAAAATCACCACAATCTTTGCAGACATGTTATCCACTTAAATGCAATCAGAGCTCTAGGAATTCCTAGCAGTAAAATGGAAATAAAAATCTCTGAGAGCTACAAGGCAGAAGATCCATGGGCCAGTGCTGGCTTTTTGGAGACACAGAATAGCTCAGTAATCTCGGAAAATCACACTCTCAATGGCTTTCTATTTCTTTTACAGTAAAATGAAAGGGTTGGATGATACAGACTTGAACAAACTTGTTAGCTCTAAAGATGTCAGAAACTATGAATATGTTGCATCAATATTAATAATCATTTCTGGCTATGTTAGGTATTCAAAAATACCACTTAATGAATCCTAAGGGAAAAAAAAAAAAATCAGTATCTTAATAAAATCCAAAAGAACATAAGAGCTTCTACCTTTATGCTTCATATTAAGAAAAAAAAAAAGAGAGAGAAAGTCAAGAAAAGCCGTTCTTTAAACCCCTACATCTACTAGAAACTGTGGAAGGAAATGAAGAGTTGGTCTATATAAGCCTGCAGAGTGAAAACAGAGCGTCCTTATGAAAGGGCTGTTATTTATCTTGCATTGCCTAAAGTTATGTTGCTTCATGTACTCAGGACCCTGTGCTCCGCAAACAGCTGAAGAGTTTAAAGTCTGGTCTGAATACAAGAGAAGTGACCACAAAGATCAATGCGATGACAGCCAATAAAAAATTACAAAAAGAAGACACGACCGGTTTCCTGTTCTTGAGAAAGTTACCAACGTAAACTGAGACAATCACGTCAGGTGTAACAAGACACCGTGCAAGGCTGTTTAAACATGAGCTCTGACACCAGGTCCAAGGGCACAGCCCCTGCTTCAAAGTCGTCTCCAGGTGGGATTTTTAGGTCATAAATCAGTCGTTGAACTAAATGTCCTAATCTCCATTTTCTACGTCAACATAGCCAGCAGATATTAGAGTCAAAAGGCAAACAGAGAAAACAATGATTTACATTCTATTCCAAGAACAGTCATGCTTAGTTAACTCAGAAAGGACATCCGTGATGCCTGGGAGACTCCAGCAAGCACTTCAGAGACCCAGGATGGATAAACAACCTTCAACAAAATTTCCATTTAATCAGCTTTAGTGTCAAAAAATATACATATGTTTACACAAATATTCTACCTTAAAAATAAAATACAGTCATTGTGTTCTCTGAAACTATATTATTCAAAGTTGTTCAGAATGCAGTGCCTTATTTAAAATACTGGGAAAAAAAAATTAGCAACGCACCTTGCTTAAAGTCACTGTCAAACATGGCCTTGCGTCCAACGTAGTATTTGTATGTGACTCTCTGTGCAGTGCTGTAATCGTCTTTCAGGTTTGAGCTGTCAATTGCTCTAATTAGGGGTTTACATAAATGGAGTTTGTTGATCTATAATGAATAACAATCCATTTAAAATATTTAAAAACAACAAAAAATAGGTAGTAAAACAAACTAAGCATGACTCCTTAAAATGCAAATTACAAAACCTATTATATCATTAAAATTATTTGTTTAATAATAAAAACCAAAACAGAAAGCAGCCAGCATAGCGAGGTTCACCCTGGGAGGCTCTGGGAAGCCCTTCTGGGGGCACGGCCCTGTAGAAGCCTGAGCTTGTGCGGCGCTGGCAGGAAGGTGGGAGGCGCTGCATGAGTGGAGGGCCCTGGACAGAAGGCACAAGTCCCAGCTCTTCATCTGGCAATGGTTTCTTTATCCAGCCATCCACCTATACGCCTGCTTTTCCATAGTTATGACCACAGAAGACAAGGCTCTGGATTGAAACCACCTGCGCTGAAAGCCTGATTCCACCACACCAGGCCAGCTGCTTCACACACAGGTGCCTTCGTTGTCCTGGAGCTGGGAGCACTAACCTCAGAGGGCTGAGCTGTCAACAGGACAACATTTGTAAGGCACTCAGAATAGTGCCCTGCACCTAGTAGGCATTCAACAAAGGTTAGCTGTTGGGACTATGACTATGGTTATGATCATTTCCTGAGCAATGCTGGAGAGGCTAATCATGTACGATATGTGGGAAGCCCAGGAGAACGGAAAACTATAGAGATATCCGGCATCCAAATCGAAGCGCACCTTGAAGTAGATTTTAAACAGCTGATTCACCAGGAACAGCATACCCCACTTCTTCGAGTCCTCGATACCAGCGCGGCTACGGGGAAATAATTTTCTTAAAGTTACACAGGAAATACAGTGTTATTTATAAACCACAAAATAAAATGCCTAAACAAATTAACATCTTGAGGTAAAGTCCCAAAGCTCAAGTTATATTCATCACACAAAATAACATTATGAAAAAAGATGTCATACCTGATGGGCAAAACGAAAGGAAAGGCAAACCAGGAAAATCCCCAGTCACTGCTTGAGTAACACACTCCCTCCACAGCACCAGCTAAAAACAGTCTAATTGGCAGCAACAATGTGTAAAAGTTAATTGTCATAAATCATTCATGAAAAATAGGACTTGGTGGTACATGCCTGTAATCTCAGCTACTCAGGAGGCTGAGGCAGGAGAATCACTTGAACCCAGGAGGCAGAGGTTGCAGTCCCAAAAAAAAAAAAAAAAGAAAAGAAAAGAAAAGAAAAGAAAAATGGAAAAATACAATAAAACAAACCAGTAAATCACACAAAGAGGGTAAGTCCCACCAAGGAAGACACATTTACCTGAAGTCACCAAAGAGGCAGAAGTGACTCACAGTGGAACAAATCCAGACAGCAGAAAGAGCCTGCCCAAAATTAGGGATGAGGGAAGTTTCTGGGGTGACAATAATGTCCTATACCTCAACAGCAAACATACAGATAATATCGCACGTTGTTCACTGGATGTAAATTTTACCTTGAAAGACTAAAAAAACAGAAACAGAAGCACCTAGGGGAGCATATACCACTGTCGTCTGCCATTAACCTGGACAGTCACACGTCACACAACGTTTCAATCAACCGCATATACCACTGTCATCCGCCATTAACCTGGACAGTCACACGTCACACAACGTTTCAATCAACCGCATATACCACTGTCGTCCGCCATTAACCTGGACAGTCACACGTCACACAACGTTTCAATCAACCGCATATACCACTGTCATCTGCCATTAACCAGGACAGTCACACGTCACACAACGTTTCAATCAACCGCATATACCACTGTCGTCCGCCATTAACCTGGACAGTCACACGTCACACAACGTTTCAATCAACCGCATATACCACTGTCGTCTGCCATTAACCTGGACAGTCACACGTCACACAACGTTTCAATCAACCGCATATACCACTGTCGTCTGCCATTAACCTGGACAGTCACACGTTACACAACGTGTCAATCAACCGCATATACCACTGTCGTCTGCATTAACCTGGACAGTCACACGTTACACAACGTGTCAATCAACTGCACATACCACTGTCGTCTGCCATTAACCTGGACAGTCACACGTCACACAACGTTTCAATCAACCGCATATACCACTGTCGTCTGCCATTAACCTGGACAGTCACACGTCACACAACGTGTCAATCAACCGCATATACCACTGTCGTCCGCCATTAACCTGGACAGTCACACGTCACACGTTTCAATCAACCGCATATACCACTGTCGTCTGCCATTAACCTGGACAGTCACACGTTACACAACGTGTCAATCAACCGCATATACCACTGTCGTCTGCCATTAACCTGGACAGTCACACGTTACACAACGTGTCAATCAACCGCATATACCACTGTCGTCTGCCATTAACCTGGACAGTCACACGTTACACAACGTGTCAATCAACTGCATATACCACTGTCGTCTGCCATTAACCTGGACAGTCACACGTTACACAACGTGTCAATCAACTGCATATACCACTGTCGTCTGCCATTAACCTGGACAGTCACACGTTACACAACGTGTCAATCAACTGCATATACCACTGTCGTCTGCCATTAACCTGGACAGTCACACGTTACACAACATTTCAATCAACTGCATATACCACTGTCGTCTGCCATTAACCTGGACAGTCACACGTTACACAACATTTCAATCAACTGCAGGCCACGTGTGGGGCGGGTCCTACAGATCCTCATGCTGTATTTTTACTGCATCGTTCCTGTGTTTGGACACGTTCAGACACACAAATGTCCCACTGCGCTGTAGGTACCTAGAGCATTCGGGCCGGCACGCGCTGCCCTTGCTCCCCGTAGCCTAGGCGCCATGGGCTACGCCACACAGTGGGGGTGTGGGGCAGGCCACGTGTGGGGTGGGTCCTACAGATCCTCATGCTGCATTTTACTGCACCGTTCCTGTGTTTGGACACGTTCAGACACACAGATGTCGCACTGCGCTGTAGTTACCTACAGCATTCGGGCCAACACGCGCTGCCCTTGCTCCCCGTAGCCTAGGCGCCGTGGGCTACGCCACACAGTGGGGGTGTGGGGCAGGCCACGCCATCCAGGTTTATTCAAGTACACTCTGGTGTTAACACCTAAAGTCAAGGCACAAAAATATAAAAGTGCCCAGTATGAAAAACAGGTGGTTCACAAGCTAGAGAAAATAAAATTACTCTTAAAATACCAAAGTGTGTCCATACAGAAACACTTAATATAAAAATAATTTTAAAATATCAAAGCCTGTTTCATAACTGCCCGTGAGCTACTCTAACCAGCTCTTTTGCATGGCTTTTATTACTACCTAGGTGTAGGACTGCAAACAAGATTCAAGATTTCATTTTCCTCATCTGAAGACGGAAACAAATAATAATACTGTTCTATGATTTCAAAGGGTTATGGAAAAGCCAAACAGAACACACCACACAAGTACTCTGTAACTCCTGTAGAATGCTACATGGATGGCGACATCCTAGCTGGGCTGACACCAGGGACAATGATCTCTCTTGGAGACACGTGACAAAAGCAAACCCCAAGGGGAGAGAGATGTCACTGGGATCTGCCTCTATCTTCTGAACTGCGGGGTCACGCGGTAACTCTACGTCGAACTCTGAGGAACTGCCATCCCGTTTCTGCACAGCAGCTGTACCGCGTTTGTTCCCCGGCAATGTGTACGAGGCTCCAGTCTCTCCACACCTCTGCTGGCGCTGACCGTCTCCTGATTACAGCCCTCCCACAGGGTGTGGAGTGGCAGCTCTTGGTGGTTCTGATTTGCACTTCAAGTGACTGATGCATTACTCATTGGTGACTAGTAATTTGAGCATCTTTTCATGCACTTACTGGCCAGCTGTGTGTTGTGTTTGGAAGGTTTTTCAAATTCTTTAACCATTTTAAAATTGGATTGTTTGTCTTTCTACTGTTGAGTTGTAATAGTTCTTTATATATTCTGGATATTAGGTCCTTATCACATATATTATTTGCAAATATTTTTTCCTAGTTTATGGTTGTTTTTTACTTTTTTGATAATGTCCTTTGAAATCTAAAGTTTTTAATTCTGAAGTTCAATTTATTTTTTCCTTTGGTTACTCATGCTTTTGGCGTCCTATCTGAAGAAACCACTGCCCAATCAAAGGTCATGCAGATCGCTGCTGTGCAGGAACAGACGATCAAGCAGAATTCCAAGTACTCATCTAAGAAACACTGAGCTCCTGTGCTGCAAGCAGCTCTAGTGATGGAGAAGGCCCACGGCCTCATGCGCTCGCCACCAAACGCACAGCACCCGCACGGCCATCAGATCACCCAGTAAATGCAGTGGAAGGAATTTTCTAAAAGGGGAATCGGATCCACCGTGAAGTCCAGCAGCAAGAGCTCTAGAGAGGGCAGAGACCTTCAAAACCAGCGCAGACGGCCAGGAGTGCAGGAGAATCTCAGCCTCAATGGGAAAGTGCCATGGCACAGCAAGGACTTTTCCACCATCCAGCCCTGGTAGGAACATTCTGAAGCGAGGCTGGGTAGGGAGGCCATGTTACCCCCCCAGCACTGCACATCTTGCAGGCTTGGCCGAACGGCTGCACAGCTCACACTCTGCTTATCTTTAGCAACAGAACGTCTGAGGTCAGAGGCTCCCCTTTCAGTTAAACCAGCTAAGACCAGCAGGACACAAAGCGGAGGTCTATCTGGCCTTTCGGGCCTCCAAACTTCATGACAATCTCATTTTCATGCTCAGTGACATTCCCACCAATGCCACAACAGTTGACAATGATGGGAACAAGCCACAGGACATAAAGATGGCAGTACTTCAGCTCCCAGAAGTCTACCGCCCATTTCCAAAAAAGCCATGAATACTGCTCCCCTGGCTTGGAGTGCCAACATCATCATTAAAGAAACCCTGTATTTCAATCCCCTCACCCTTCCTGAGTAGAGAAGCTGACCTGTGAGCCATATTCCTGCTTCTTCATTCCTCAGCCTTTGCATACAGCTTGTTCTGCTCAACACTGACTTTCGCTTTGGTGGGTTGGATCTACAACACCCAACAGCAAAAACTCCCATCTTCGGAGGCCACCGAGTTTACTGGCAGCAGACACAGTGAGGGAAACGCGGTGCCAGGCTACTGCTATGGTTTAGATGTGGTTTTTTGGCCCCAACAAGCCTCATCTTAAAACCTGATCCCCGGCCGGGCACGGTGGCTCAAGCTTGTAATCCCAGCACTTTGGGAGGCCGAGGCGGGTGGATCACGAGGTCGAGAGATTGAGACCATCCCGGTCAACATGGTGAAACCCCGTCTCTACTAAAAATACAAAAAATTAGCTGGGCATAGTGGCACGTGCCTGTAATCCCAGCTACTCAGGAGGCTGAGGCAGGAGAATTGCCTGAACCCAGGAGGCGGAGGTTGCGGTGAGCCGAGATCGCGCCATTGCACTCCAGCCTGGGTAACAAGAGTGAAACTCCATCTCAAAAAAAAAAAACAAAAAAACCCTGATCCCCACTGTTGGAGGTGGAGCCTAATGGAGGTTTCTGGGTCACGGGGGCGGGCCCCTCATGAATGGCTTGGTGCCGTCCTTGCCATAATGCGTGAGTTCTCGCTCTGAGCTCCTGTGAGTGTTCCCAGATAGCTGGTTGTGGAAGAGCCTGGTGCCTCCCCTTCTATCTCCTGCCATGGGGTAGGCTTCTCTTCACCTTCCCGCATGAGTGGAAGCAGCCTGAGGCCTCACCAGAAGCAGATACCAGCACCATGCTTCTTGTGCAACCTGCAGAACTGTGAGCCAGACGCATCTCTTCTCCTACTTCCCCAGCCTCAGGTATTCCTTTATAGCAACACAAGAGGACTAAAACAACTGTTCTCTGTAAACGATCGGTTTTTTGTTTATTTATATTTGGGCACCTTTGATAATGTTTCTTTGCTTTAAAATGTCTTAAATCTCATAAATAAATGTGATTATATAATGGGTGAAGAGATGGGAGCTTTAGGATAAAAAAATGGAAACTCTAAAGTAAAATGAGATGGAAAGTTGAGAATTAAAAATAAATAATGGCAGATAAGATCAACTTGTAAGTCAGTTAGTACAAATTACCCAAAATGAAGAAGAGGAAAAAAAAAAATACTGAAGCCTGGTGCAGTGGCTCACACCTGTAATCCCAGCACTTTGGGAGGCTGAGCCAGGTGGATCACTTGAGGTCAGAAGTTCAAGACCAGCTGGGCCAACGTGGTGAAACCCATCTCTACTAAAAATACGAAAATTAGTTGGAAGTGGTGGCAGATGCCTGTAATCCCAGCTACTCGGAAGGCTGAGGCAGTAGAATGGCTTGAACCTGGGAAGAGGACGTTGCAGTGAGCTGAGACGGTGCCACTGCATTCCAGCCTGGGCAAGAGAGCAAGACTCTGTCTCCAAAAAAAAAAAAAAAGGTTAAAAAATAAAGAGTAATGGGAGCCTGTGTGAGATAATATCATGCATTTAATACACATGCAGGTGAAATCCCAGAAGGAGAGGAGACAAAATGGGGCCAAAAGTCGCTGAAGAAAGAAGGTAAAAAACTAAATTTTTAAAAACATCCAGGAAGCCCAATGAACCCTGAACAGGAGAAATTAAAGGAAAAGAAAAAGGCCACTATGTCCATCAGAGCCAAATTACTGAAGGCCAATGATAAAGAGAAAATCAGAGCCAGAGGAAAAAGACCTGTTCTATATGGGGAACAATGGCAGGGACCCATCAGAAGCAAAGGAAACCAGATGGAATGACATTTTTAAAGTGCCAAAAGGAAAAAAAACCAGTCAACCCACAAGACTCCATCTAGCAAAAGGAGTCTTTAAAAAGGAAGATAATCAGTGCTGCTTCTTCACTGGTAAAAAGAGAAAATGTCTTTTAAAAAAATAATAAAGACAGCTTCAGAAAAATGAAAGCCTAGAGGATTCACTGCCCACAGACCCTCACCAAATGCAAATGCTGAGACAGGTGCTTCAGGAAAGGGAAATGGCACCAGAGGGAAACTGGGAGCTGCAGAGGCTCCAGGCGTGGTCACATGTGGGCAATGAAAAAACTAGGACCTGCAGAGGCTCCAGGCGTGGTCACATGTGGGCAATGAAAGACCTTTCTTTTCCTGAGCTCTTCTTTCCTTTACAAAACAATTAACTTTCCAAAGCAAACATAACGATGGCTGTGGGATTATGTGTGGAAGTAAAATACATGTCAACAATAAACACAGGCCAGAAAGGGGTGAGCATTGCCGTAAAGAACATGACCAACAGTGTCTTCTGTTCCTCAAGTCCTTACTCACGTGTCGCTGGCACAGACCCGGAAACAGCTCATCAGTAATTCTGCTGCTTTCTCTAACATGTCCCCAACTTTGCTTTTTCCTTTCTTTACCAACTGCTGATCTGCCTAAGAAAATATAAAAACATTTATTTTATTTTTCCGAGGCAAGGTCTTGTTGTGTTGCCCAGGTTGGACGCGTGGCACAATCACACCTCACTGTAGCCTCAACCTCCTGGGCTGCACCAATCCTCCCACCTCAGCCTCCTGAGGAGGTGGAACCAGGGAACCAGACACCACCATGCCTGGCTAGTTTAGGGGGTTTTGTTTTAATTTTAATTATTTTTTTTTTTTTGCCGGCGGGGGCGGGGGGAGAGATAGGGTCTCACTTTGTTGTTCTGGCTGATCCTGAACTTCTGACTCCAAGTAATCCTCCCACCTTGGCCTCCCAAAGTGTTGGGATTACAGGCGTGAGCCACTGTGCCCAGCCAAAACATTTATTTCTTAAAGTAAAAAATGGATACAATTAAGACTCAAAGTCTCAAAGGATTCTGGAGAAATCAGCTAGCATGTACCGTAATATTTTTTAAAATGCAGTAGTCTATATTATTCTAATTCTTCCACAAACCAAATCTTTCTTCAATTAATTCAAGTCAGTCATCAATTTTTCAAACCTGCACTACGTATGTTAATATGCTACTGAGCTTTCTCTTACTTAGGTCCCTGAAGTTGGCTAGTCAAAATGCTTGAAATAAAAACGTTTAACAAACATTGAAGACATCGCTGAGTTTGACTTTTCCCTTGCATTTAGGAGGATGGCCTTGGTTAAGGCAGGAAGAACCTGTTTCTCCCACCTGTGTTCTCCACAAACCCGAGGCCTACAACAGGTTTGCAGATGACCCCCACACAGCTCAAACTGTATTTACGACAACACTAAGCCGTATGGTCTTTTTTTTACTGTATTAACCTTTACACTAATGGTGCAAAAACAGCAATAGGGAAAATGCTGGAGTGCTCTCACCGGCAGCAAACTACAAGATAATCATGTTCTTAAACACCAGACACTTGCAATCAATCAACAAACCAATACAATTCATTGCCCTTTATGTCCTTCACGGCCAAGCACAGTGGTTCACACTGCAATCCCAGCACTTTTGGAAGGCTAAGGTGGAAAATCACTTGAGCCTAGGAGTTTGAGATCAACCTGGGCAACATGGCAAGAATCTGTCTTTATGAAAAATTTTAAAATTAGCCTGATATCATGGCATACGCCTGTAGTCCCAGCTACTTGGGAGGCCGAGGTGGGAGGCTTCGGCCCGGGAACTTGAGCCTGCAGTGAGCTATGATTGCACCACTGCACTTCAGCTTGAGTGGTAGAGCAAGACCATCGCTAAACAGATAAATAAAATGTTCTTGATAATGCAGCAAATATGAATTTTCTTAAATCTTGGTCCTTGAGCACACATATTTTAGATATTCTTTGTGATGACATGAGAAGCACGCAGCACTTCTGGTGCACACGGTGTTTCATGACTGTTCACGGAAAAGCTCTTGGCAGCTGTCTGAGCTGCGAGCTGGACTAGCTGCTTCTTGTGGAACAGAAAATTGACAGGCAAGCACAGCTACCCAGGCTTGAGCATCTGGCAGACCATGTTCTCCAAAATGAATGAAACAAATCTGTCACTTCTAGGCAAACAACTGATAGTACTGGTTGCCAATGACATTTGTGCTTTCAAGAAAACTCAGAATTCTGGGAAACTTTTATCAACCATCATGAGCTTAGCAGTTTCTCCTTACTCCAAGACTTTTCTGATGAGGTCCCTGGAGATGTTAATAAAGGTAGGGGCTTGGGGGCTGGGTTTTTAACAGTGGTGTGTCAACACTCGGTACCTGCTGCATGGCTCAGTAAGCCAACATTCTCCAAATGGCCTGCTATGGTCTGAATGTTTGTGCCCCCTCCAAGACTCATGCTGAATCCTAACCCTCAAGGTGATAAGTGTCTGGAAGAGGGGCCTTTAGGAGGTGATGAAGTCATGAAGGCAAAGCTGTCGTGAATGGGACTGGTGCCCTCATAAAAGACCCCAGAGAGATCCCTTGCCCCTTCTACCACATGCTGACACAGCAAGAAGATGCTATGAGCCAGGGAGCAGCCCTCGCCAGACCCTGAATCTGCTGGTGACTTGATCTGGGACCTCCCTTCCTCCAAAACTGTGAGACATCAACGTTTGTTGTTTACAAGCCACCCAGTTTACAATGTTTTGCTGGAGCAGCCCAAATGGACTAAGATATATGACTAACGCAAAATACGACAAAATCCATTCAAAGTGCTCTAGGCAGACCAGCGGATCTTAGTGCAAAGGCAGAAAAAGTTTATTGTACATTTCAGAAGCCACACTGTTAACTAACCTTTAAACAACAACTGCTTCTTGAAGTTCTGGTATTTAGAGTCAAGAAGAATTATCTCAATGGTCTGGAAAGCCTATCAGAGTATTTCCCTTTTCCACTTACATCTTTGTGGGGCCAGAATGTCTTGAAATGCTTTATTCAAAACGGTATGCTGCAACAGAGTGAGTGCAGAAGCAGGTAAGAAGACCAGATGGCTTCTGCTGAACTCAACATCAAAGAGGTCAAAGGTGATGTGACACCATTTTTCTTAGTATTTTGTTTTGGAAATAGTTATTTTTTATTTAAAAAGTCAGCTATGTTACATGTAAAAGGTTTACTGATGTTGCTTTAAAATGAATAAATATTTTTAAATCTTCTCTAAAATTTCTAATATAGTAAATATCAATAGATAAAACAAAAATAAAAGCTCTCTGGGGTCTTCAGTATACTTTTCAGTTCTAAAATTTCCATTCGGTTCTTCTTTGTGTCTCCTATTTCCTTGTTGAGCCTTTAAATATTTTCATTCGTTTCAAGCATGTTCTTATCTGCTTGCTGAATCATTCTTAGAGGGCCGTTTAAAATTCCTGACAGATAATTCCAACAGCTGTGCAATCTCAGCATTGGTGTCGTCTGCTGAATATTTTTTCTCATTCGAAATCTTAAAAAGTTGAGAATTTTTCTGGTAACCAGTGTCATTAAATCCCGAACATCTGGGGCATTACGTGACAAGACGATGGACCTTATTTATCTTGCTTTTAGGAGGCCTCACCATGCAAGTGGAGAAACAGGGGCATCCCCACTGCCACTGAGTAGGGGAGCCCCAGGCCCCCTGCGCAGCCACTGACATCAACCTGGTGGGAATCGGGCTGGCTCCTCATTACTGCTAGCCCGGGGTGCAGGTCCTGGGCCGCCCCCAGCCAGCACCACTTTGCGGATGGGGCAGAGGCACCTGCTGACTTTTTTGTGCCTGACACTGGAGTGAAGCAGTGACGGTCAAAGTTCTGTCATGCTGGACTGTCTTCCCAGCCTCCTGGATTCCCTGGGGCTTTTTGTCTCTTGCCTGATGGTAGAAGACTTCAGGCTTCTAAGGCACCCAGTCCAGGACAGACAGGAGGCAAAAAGGAAACCCGAGGACTCCCTACACGTGACTCTGAGAGCCTCACCCCCTCTTCTCTCCACCTCCGACAGCCATGCTGGCCTGACAGCTCCCAAGGTTTTAACTGTTTTCAGCAGGCGCAGTAGGGAGAAATCTACTGCATCCTGCCTAGAACTGGAGTCATCAATCATTTCTAAAACTGTAAAGGGGTTGTCCTAAGACCAAAAAGTTGACAAATGCTGCTCCATAATGGGAGCTTCTGTGGGTCCCCAAGCGGAAGTCACCTCCAAAAAACCCAGGATCTCCCCTCACCCCAGGAAGCCCCTTGCTACTGCCCAAATCTATATGAAGCTGAATTCTTTTCGGCGGGGAGCAGGCCACATCTTAAGGGTAGAAGAGACACAGAATAGCTCATATGTTGTTGTTCCACTCATTTCACAAAAATAACACATACCATAAATGGTTAACCACAGACTGAAACCTCTCCCTTTATAGGAACAGTGCGGAAATCTGAGCAAATGTTTATTTTAATCTGTTTGTGTTAACCCAGAAAAAAGAGTCAATATCTGTTCTTTTGCTCCCTATACCAGACACATCTCAACTCCCATTTACCCCTCAAAAGTTTTGGAAAAAATAACATGAAATTAAACAACAGTCACCAAGTTTTAGTTCTAAAGCAATAATGATAGCAAGTTAAACTTACATTGTTGGCAAACACTCGAAGGTCAAGCGCAACTGCATACATGACAGGCAGGGCCCTAGGTGCAAAGAGGAAACGTGTGAGGGAGTGTGAGGCACCAGATTCCATCCCCAGAGGTCGCCCAGGGCTACTATCCAGAATGGGGTCCATATTTTTCCAAAACTCTGACAGGTGTCTGCTTCCTCACCCTCTGTCCAGATGGGCTGCAGGCCCCAAACTTCCTGATCATCCTGGGGCGCCACACTGCGGGGCTCCACACCCCTGTCCCCAACCCTGTCAGAAGACCCAGCCCTGTTTCAGCTTGGGGCTCCCAGGATATCCTCCTCCCCTCAGCTTCCCACCAGAATCCAAACAGCACCACTAAAAAGGAAGTGGTTTGATCAGATTTCCTAACAGGAAACAGAATATGTCATACACAAATGTCACAAAACCTTTACAGCCAACTGGCAAAAGTGGACTGTTTTCATGAGTGAGCTTTCACATTAAAAGAGAAAAGCGTGGGTTTGTTTGTTTGCAAAAGGCCTTTGGTTATTTTAGTATAAACAAATTTCGGTATTTACCTACAGTTTGTTAATAAATCATAAAATTAAGAATCTATTTGAATTAGTTTGGCAAGGCATCTAAAAATGCCACCATTACTATGTATCAGAACACCCTAAATGAACTGCCATTGGTCCACCTCCTTCATCCAACATTTAAAAATCAAAAGCAAGTTCAAAATTGATACTGAAGGAAAAAGCAGTATTCAATAAATATCTGGGGAAATAGACATCTGAAATAAAAATAATACTATATTTACATACACACACTCCAAACAATGTGGCTGATCTACAATTAAAGTTTACTCAATTTATAACTCCACTATCTGTGTAGATATTACGTCAACACACTGATATTAAATATCCACACGGAAAAAATACAATATATATATTTAAAGCAAATTTGTAAAAAGATTCTGCTAAAAAAAAATTGCGATTTGCTAATCTCCAGCTGTTTGTGTTCACACTTACCAGTTTTCTTCTTTGTGCGCCTGGAATGCTCGCAAGAACGACGTACTGTATTAAGGAAGATATGGCACATAAAGTTCAAATAATGCTACGTAGAATAAAAGGAATAAGAACCTAAATTTTAAAGAATGTAGCTCACCCTTTAGCAGATTGTATATTACAACAGCAATAAGTTCTTGAAGGAAAACAAAAAAGGTATAAACTCACATTACAAATATCTGTATCTTAGTAGGTTCGAGTATACTGAATATATTTATTTCATATATACGGTCTCTTAAATAAAAAAGATTTTTTAAATCAGCAGTTTCAAATGTTTTGTTTGGGTTCTCTGAGCCCAGAAGATCATGAGTCATATTTAAGTGCTTTAGAATCTGTAGCATACAGTTGATTTTATCAACAACAGAATTCCTGAATTCCAAGGATGCTGTCAGCAAGTAGCCCGACTCTCTTCTTTGTATAATTAAACAAGGTGGTTAAAAAGAAAAGACAATAATCTAGAGATACATACAAGTCCTTAGAACACTCACTGATTCAGCCTTTAACTAAAGATACTCTTTAAGTGACTTAAGTACAAACCTCTTGATTTAAGGTCTTCAGCTGCCACAATTCAATGCCGATGTGTATCTGAGTTCACTCTCGTCCACCTCTGCCTGAATTCTGGATTTCTGTTATTTCACCAACAGGGCTTAACCAATCCCTGTAATTATACTTACTACCTTATTAAGGGCAACGAAACATTCTTCTTCTCAACAGAATTAAATAAGATCCTTCCTCTTAACACAGTGTTCTTCCTTACGAAGTGGCTGCATGAGTCCTAAGATCCATGCTAAATTTAAGTACCCGAATGAAATAGCTGAAATGAGTTTCTCTTCCAAAACACTGTCATTCCTTTCTAACTGCAGAAGTGAGCAACTGCCCTAATGTTTCCAGGTCTCAAGTCCCCAATAATCCACTGCATGTGTTCTACATTGGACAGCCGTCATAAATGACAAAGGATATTGGACGATCACGGTCTGGCACTTGTATGCCTCTATGAAGTCATGGTTCCCCACTGCGTATGTGCACCTGGAAAAGAAACACACTTTCACACAATGAAAACCTAGACACTAGTTATGCCATCCACACAGCTCACTTCACTGCACTGGTCCCAGTGGTCCTGGGATGAAAGCTGGTGGTCCTGCTCATCAGGTGATAAAGGGTGAAGGAAGAAACACACAAATGAATGAACACAAACAGGTGAGTAAAAGATGAAGTCCAGGCCGGGTGCGGTGGCTCACACCTGTAATCCCAGCACTTTGGGAGGCTGAGGTGGGCGGATCACAAGGTCAGGAGTTCAAGACCAGCCTGACCAAAATGGAGAAACCCCATCTCTACTAAAAATACAAAATTAGCCGGGCATGGTGGCACATGCCTGTAAACCCATCTACTCAAGAGGCTGAGACAGGAGAATCACTCGAACCTGGGAGGAGGAGGTTGCAGTGAGCTGAGATCATGCCATTCCATTCCAGCCTGGGCGAAAAATCAGTCTCAAAAAAAGTAAAAATAATGGCGCGTGCCTGTAATCCCAGCTACTCAGGAGGCTGAGGCAGGAGAATTGCCTGAACCCAGGAGGCGGAGGCTGCGGTGAGCCGAGATCGCGCCATTGCACTCCAGCCTGGATAACAAGGGCGAAACTCCGTCTCAAAAAAATAAAAATAAAAATAAAAATAAAAAAAGATGAAGTCCCACAGTAAGTTTTGAGACTCTTCTTTCAAATACTAGAAGGACCTAGCCCCAGCAGTTTTATGAGTAACACATTATTAGTATGACCCTTCCACTCTATCAGATGCTGACAATGACATTCAAACTAGATTCCCAGCTGCATAACGTCAGGATAAGTTCATTGTCAAATCTTGAACCCATAGCACGCTGCACAGAGCTAGGAAATCACGGGTGCTTTGTACTACAAGGAACACGGTGGTGCCCCAACTCTTCCAAGGGCCCTGCAGGGTTCACAGGGCATTCCTGCTCATAGACTACACCCTGGCCCAGTAGCCCAGGCTGCTGTGAAAGACGGTCATCAAATCTCACATAAGGACACCATCTTTTGCCTGAACTGATCCCTTAAGGCTAAAACAGTGGCTATGGAGTGTATGTAAAAAGTAGCACCGTTTGCTTTGCTCAACTCTGGTTTCTTTCCCAGGAAGGTAAAGAGGTTCCAAAACGGACATATTTCCAGGAAAAAGGTAAGTTATTGGTTCGGTTCCATACTCTACTAAAAAGACCACTATCCAGTCACCATGGTAAGTATTATTTGATTTTAAAAATGGTATTATACAACTGATGTAAAAAATTTCCACAGGCTTTATCAAAGTGAAATTACAAATGCATTTTCCTACTTTTTCAAAGTCAATTATCAGTTTCAAGCATAAGATAATGCAGAATAAAATCCCCCAGCAGTTCAGCCATTTCCAGATGTGTGTGTTCCTTCCTCCCGCACAGATTACCTTAAATGGGCGGCAAACATTTCATCGTAAGGGGGTTCCAAGACCTGTTGACACTTCTCCTCTGGAGAGGCCATCTGATTTCAAAAAAGAAAAATGGCAAAAGTAAAATTAATAGGCACAGAAATAATGCAACATATAGAAAGAAAGATTTAAACCTCTGTTTCAAGAGAATTTATACTTTATAGTTCACAGTAACACTTTACATTTAATACTCTAAACAGAAGGTTCAGGCCGTGAGCAGTGGCTCATGCCTGTAATCCCAGCACTTTGAGGGGGCCGGGGCAAGCAGATCACTTGAGGCCAGGAGTTCGAGACCAGCCTGTTTCTACAAATAAAAATTACAAAAATTAGGCCAGGCACGGTGGCTCATGCCTGTAATCCCAGCACTTTGGGAGGCCAAGGTGGGCAGATCAAAAGGTAAGGATATCGAGACCATCCTGGCTAATGCGGTGAAACCTCGTCTCTACTAAAAATACAAAAATTAGCCAGGTGTGCTGGTACGTGCCTGTAGTCTCAGCTATTTGCGAGGCTGAAGCAGAAGAATCCCCTGAACCCAGGAGACGCGAGGTTGCAGTGAGCCGAGATAGCCACTGCACTCCAGCCTGGGCAACAGAGAGAGACTCCATCTCAAAAAAAAAAAAAAATACAAAAAAATTAGCCAGGTGTGGTGGCATGTGCCTGTAATCCCAGCTACTCAGGAGGCTGAGGCAGGAGAATCACTTGAACCCGGGTGGTGGAGGTTTCAGTGAGCCGAGATTGTCCCACTGCACTCCAGCCTGGGTGACAGAGTGAGACTTCACCTCAATTAAAAAAAATTTATACAAAAATTAGCCAGGTGTGGTGGTGAACACCAGTAATCCAGCTACTTGGGAGGCTAAGGCACAAGAATCGCTTGAACCTGGGAGGTGGAGGTTGCAGTGAGCCAAGATCGTGCCACTGCACTCCAGCCTGAGTGACAGAGAGAGACTGTCTCATAAATAAATAAATAAATGATTCACTACTTCAACAAATATTTATCAATATTTCAGGGGAACAAGAAGCCCATGAATATAATTTAGTGTTACCTTCTGCAAGCCAGAAAATATTCTGGGCACTCTCATGTATATTTTAGTATTTAATAGCCAGTCAGTCAATAAATAAGTAACTATCATGTTTATTGTTAAGCAGCTATCATGGGTTTAGTAAGTGAGGCATAGAAGGCCTTCCGTGAGGTCTAATGAGTTACAGGCGGTCCCACGTTAGGACTCAGCCTTCTCAGCTCCCGCTGACAGCACCACTCTCATGTCCTGGGCTAGTGTAGACATTTCTAAGTTTTCCTCTCCTCTCAACTTTAAGATAATCTGAACAACTGAATAGACGATGGTTGATTTTTCCAACTTGACTGGCCGTGGGGTGCCCAAACAATGTAATTTCTGGGAGTGTCTGTGAGGGTGTTTCTGGATGAGACTGGCAATTGTACTGGTAGACTCAGGAAAGCAGACGTCCCTCCTCAGTGTGGACAGACAATGGCCAATCTGTTGAGGGCTTGAATAGAACAAGAGGTAGAGGAAGGAAGAATTTACTCCTTCTACGGACTTCTTGACCTCTGTATCAGAGGACACAGTTCCTCATACTAAACCTCTAAAAATATCAATATATCCCATTGGCCCCGTTTCTCTAGAAAACCCGGACCAGCACAAGATACATGATAGCACACTGAGGTTTTTTCACAGAAGCAATGAGCCCATGCTGATATCGTGAGAGAGAAGAATGACACTATCAGAAAAATCACCATTCTGTAGTCCCTGGTGAACGAAACCACTGTAAGAAAGGTTAGCAGGGGGCCGGGCGCGGTGGCTCAAGCCTGTAATCCCAGCACTTTGGGAGGCCGAGGCGGGTGGATCACGAGGTCAAGAGATCGAGACCATCCTGGTCAACATGGTGAAACCCCGTCTCTACTAAAAACACAAAAAAATCAGCTGGGCATGGTGGCGCATGACTGTAATCCCAGCTACTCAGGAGGCTGAGGCAGGAGAATTGCCTGAACCCAGGAGGCGGAGGTTGCGGTGAGCCGAGATCGTGCCATTGCACTCCAACCTGGGTAACAAGAGCGAAACTCTGTCTCAAAAAAATAAAAAAAAAAAGAAAAAAGAAAGGTTAGCAGGGAGTTTTACAATGAAGGGATCGTCTCAGGTTGTAAACAGGACAGTATGTGTCCTCTCATGTGACATGATACAAAGCACACGGCACCAACCCTGGGGTGCTCTGGCCAAGGCAAGCCTGGTCCCATCGAGTTTCCAGCACTAACTCCTACTTAGAGCAATGGTTTTCAACACTGTCTACACACAGAATCACCTAGATAACTTTATTAAAAACAAAAACAACAAGCCTGCCGCTACCGTAGAGAATGATTTACCTTGTCTGAGTTGCAGTCTGTACACCACTAAACATAATCCCCAATAGATAAGCCCATTTTTCTTCCAAAAGAAAAATGCTGCACCTAGTAGGAACACATTCCAATATGATAATGGGTGTCAATAAGGAAACAGGGCTTTATCAAACTCCCACAAGATTTTATACATAAAATACTGCTTTATATCACCTATGCCACAGATGACACAGAAACTCCATGGACAACCCCAGGCTGGGCCTTGGCTTGCCGGCCTTTCTAAGGACTGAAATGGGAGACACCTGCAGCGCACGACGTCCATGGGCCTTTGGGGACGCAAAGGCCTGGACAGAGTCAAGTCTCCACCACCTCACTTCTCCAAACCTCAGAGAGTTCCAGAGGAATCAAACACAGGGCGGGAGGTCCACACCACTACAGTGTGCCTACACAGTCAGTGCTCCGGAAAGAAATAGGAATTACATACATCATAAAGAAACTTTAAAATTTTCAAATAAAGAGTGACAATATTGGTTTTCTTCTTACTCAAATTCTACACTTCCCTTAGGAAAGTGATTACCCTGTCATTATCTGCAGACACCTGTGTGCACAGCTCTTTTACCTACTTGGAGTCGTGGGTTTGCAACATGAGGATGTTTAAAAGACACCAACTCTGCACAAGATGCTCCATCTCTGGTGTCGATGGCTTCGTATACCTGAAACATTTGAAAGGGAAACCTAAGTAGAAAATAAAATAGTCTGTTCTAATAGAACCTACAATATACCGTATGCCTCACAGGGGAGAATTCATTTTCCCCTACTTTGAAAAAAGACAGAATAATCCAAATGTAACAGGCCGCTACTCTGCAGTGGGTAAACAATAACTTCATTTCAAAATGAGATGTTCCTAGCTGGCTCAGGCCTGTAATCCCAGCATTTTGTGAGGCTGAGGGAGGATTGCTTGAGGCCAGGAGTTTGAGACCATCCTGAAAAACATAGCAAAACCCATCTCTTTAAAACAAACTAACAAACAAAAACAGATGTTCTTGAAGCAAAAAAAAACAGGCCAAGCAAGCAAGTCAGTGGTTTATCATGTAATTCTTCATAAAGGTGAATTATTCTGGTTTTACTTGATCACATTCACATATGTTTGAAAATCCAATTTCACAGTTTATGAAAAAGAAATCAGTTTAAAAACCACATATATCCAAAATTCAAAAAGCTTCTACCCAACCTAAACATAAAAGGGAAATGGAAATGGCCGGGCATGGTGGCTCACGCTTGTAATCCCAGCACTTTGGGAGGCCAAGGCGGGTGGATCATGAGGTCAGGAGATCAAGACCACACTGGCCAACATGGTGAAACCCCATCTCTACTAAAAATACAAAAAAAAGTTAGCTGGGCGTGGTGGCTTGCACCTGTAGTCCCAGCTACTTGGGAGGCTGAGGTGGGAGAATCATCTGAAGCGGGAGGCGGAAGTTGCAGTGAGCCGAGAGTGCACCACTGCACTCCAGCCAGCTTGGTGGCAGAGCAAGTCTCCATCTCCAAAAAAAAAGGGAAATGAAAATAGCTAAATAGATTGTCACATTCATACAATGGGATACTTGGCTACTGTTAAAAAGAATTAATAGATCTACATGTAATAATGTAATAACATGAGAAAACGTCTACAATATGATGATTAAATCAAAACAAAATTAACTGCAGGAAAACCGTGTAACTTGATTTGGGAGAAATAGGAACAGAAAAACTACGTACAACATGTAAGCGGAGGAAAGAACGAGGGCCCGTGCCACACCACGCCAGCTGACTACGCGGACCGTGGGGTAGGGGCTGGGAGACCCGAGAGCCATTTGCCCCAACTAGCTCCTGCCGCAACAGACATTTTGTAATTAGAAAACCAAATATGCTTTTAAATCATGTTTACAAAAAAAGACATAAAAATTCTAACTAAGCAAAAGAGATAAGCACAAAGCTTTAGATACAGTGTAATTAAACTATGATAAAATTAAATATATACATTTTATGCTCACACAAGACTGACCAGGGATGTCATAACAACGATGTGCAGATGGAAAAAAGCACAAGCAGAGGGTCCTCCACACTGCGACCCCTCAGTGAAAGGCAGAGGGTCCTCCACACTGCGACCCCTCAGTGAAAGGCAGAGGGTCCTCCACACTGCGACCCCTCAGTGAAAGGCAGAGGGTCCTCCACACTGCGACCCCTCAGTGAAAGGCAGAGGGTCCTCCACACTGCGACCCCTCAGTGAAAGGCAGAGGGTCCTCCACACTGCGACCCCTCAGTGAAAGGCAGAGGGTCCTCCACACTGCGACCCCTCAGTGAAAGGCAGAGGGTCCTCCACACTGCGACCCCTCAGTGAAAGGCAGAGGGTCCTCCACACTGCGACCCCTCAGTGAAAGGCAGAGGCTTCCACACTGCCACCCCTCAGTGAAAGGCAGTGAGCTCCCTCCACATACCCACCAGGGAACTCAGAACTAGGAAGGCTGATGACACCGAGTGCTGCCGAGAACATGAAGCAACTAGAAGGCTCACACATTCGTGATGGGGTCAATCGGGGTAAAATTTTCGTAGAAAACTGGTATTCTACTAAAGCAAGCAAACACCTACTCTGACTCCAACCGTGCTCAACTAAGGTGCGTGTGGCTACAAAGTGGTTCTGGAGCCTGCTGACCAAGCCGTGCTCTCTCCTCGGCTCCACACGAACAGGAGGTTCACGCTAAAGAGTTCCCCACATCCACCCCTGCCTATGGTTGGAAGCACACCGGGTCCTGCACTGTGCTATCACTCTCACCACCCAGGGCCTGGCACAGCCCCAGGAGCCTGAGAGGCCTCGCTCTGGTTAACATCACGACGTTCTGACATCGCCAAGGGCTCCAGAGTTCTCTGCAGAGGGAACCTATGGGTGACTGAGGGCTTTGAGTCTCAGACTGGAGCAAGCACTGTGGAATGGAAGCATACTTCAATGACTAAACGCACTGGGGTCACAGTGGTCACGAAGGGATCAAACCCTGGAGTCTAGACACCGGGTCCCTCCAAGGAGAGGTGGAGATCCCTGTTGGGGGCACTCACTGGTCACCCTCTTTTGCCTGTGAAATCCCAGGGTGGTCCCTGCACACATGCAGGGTGATGTCGCCACATCCTCAGCTCACTCCGCCACACCCACCTGGGCTGCACCCAGTGTCCCAGGTGTGACCTGACCAGAGGAGGCCTCAGTGACACAGGGCCTTGAACCCAAGGAGAGCCCCAGCTTGCTTGGCAGGCATGAATGTGTCCCAAGAGTGGGCCTATCAATGCCCCCGCCTCAGTGACTAAATTGTGAGAACGGCGGGGGTGTGAACAGGAAAAGCAGGGATAGCAACAGACAGTACCAGCAACCCCTAAAGTTGCGACTGGCGCCACAGGGGATGCAGGATCCTAAGCAGCCCAGCCACCTGGCCAACTGTTAACATCTCATGCTGCAGAGACTTCAGCCCCCAATGGGACCACACAGCCACATTCCAAGTGAGCATCTTCTGAGCGGCACCCCTAGGCCTGGTTCACCAGGGCATGCTCCCCGCTTCTGGTCCCAGCAAGACTTTCTTGTGGCTGGGGCATGCCTCTCATGCCCTCCAGTGCGGTCCACAGAGAACGCGTAACTTTTAAAAGTGCAAAATTATCGGCCGGATGCTGCGGCTCACGCCTGGAAGTAATCTCAGCACTCTGAGAGGCTGAGGAGGATGGATCACAAGCTCAGGAGTTGGAGACCAGCCTGGTGAAACCGGGTCTCTACTAAAAACACAAAAAAATTAGCCCGGCGGTGGCGCATGCATTGTGCTTGGAGAGAGAAGGGCGTTAAACGGCAGCGAGGACCCGGAGCGCTCGCCCGGCCCGCGGCACCGCCAGGGCCCGCGCTCGCCCCGCCATCGCCCCCCGGACGTCCCTCCGACGCGGCGCCGCCCACACCAAGGCCCGCCGGCCCGTCCGAGCCCCCGCGAGCGCGGCCACACATGCCAGCAACAGACGGCAGCGCCCTGGGGCCCCGCGTCCACTTCCACTGCGACGACTCCGCGATCGGTCCACGGACGCCGCCCACGGCGGCCCCGCAGGGGAGACCCCGGGCGCCTTCCCGAGCCCCAGCCGCCGCCGTGCGGCCTTTCGGTCGGCTCGCGGGCACGCGGACGAGGAAGGGGTGGCGAGGCGGGGAAGGAAGAGGCCCGAGCGTCCACGGCAGGAGGAGACACGCGGAGCGCGCCGAGGGCCAACCGCGCCGCCGCGCGCGGCCGGGCCGGGACCCACCTGCTGCAGGTACTGGTTGATGGTGATGTGCGCCATGGGAGCGCCGACGCCGGGCGGGCCAGCTGGCGTCACTTCCGGCGCTCGGTCCGTCTGGGTCCCGGCGCCCCCGGCCGCGCCGCCCGCGCGCAGGTGGTTCCGGAGGGAGAACCGGGGTCGGCTGGGCGGCGCGCTCGGGCTGAGGGGGCCCCGGGGTCTTTCCGCCGGGCCCGTCCTCTCAGCGGGGACGCCAGCGGCTCTGACTGTGTGTTTGAGCCCGCCCCGGCTGGGGGGCTTGGGGTCCGGCGGCAGGACAGCGCCACGGCCAAACTGCTTCTCCCCGCGCTGACCCCTCGACCGCCTCCTGTGAAAACGAGGCCGCGGAGGACGCTCGGCGCGCGTCCGGGTCAGGGCGTCGGGGCGCGCGCCCGAGCGGGGGGCGGGGGAGGGACACGGCGCGCGCTCCCGAGGCCGCATGAAGTGCCCCGCCGCGCGCTCCCGAGCCCTCAGGCGTGGGGACGTCTCGGCGCGCGCCCCCCGAGCTCTCGAGGTGGTCCCGAGTCCCGCATGGGGGTGCCGAGCCCTCGGAAGGGGGGCCCCGCCGCGCGCGCCCCGAGCCGGCAGAGGGGGCCCTGATCCCTCAGGGAGGGGCCCCGGCGCGCGTCCCCGAGCCCTCGGGGGTCCCCGTCCCGCAGGAGGGGCGGTTCCCGGCGCGCGCCCCGAGCCCTCGGGAGAAGCCGGGCGCGGCGGCGGTTGGGCTCGGGCACGCGGGCCGGGCGGGGCGGGGCGCGCGGGGAGGCCGGGGCGGAGGCCGCGCGGACCGGGGCGGGCGGCGGCGGCTGCGGCTCTCGGGGCGGGGCGGGGCGCGGCGGTTCCGGCCCAGCCATGGCGGACGAGGCCCCGCGGAAGGGCAGCTTCTCGGCGCTCGTGGGCCGCACCAACGGCCTCACCAAGCCCGCGGCCCTGGCCGCGGCGCCCGCCAAGCCGGGGGGCGCGGGCGGCTCCAAGAAGCTGGTCATCAAGAACTTCCGAGGTGGGTGCGGCGGCCGGGCCGAGGGCCGGGCGACCCCGGCGGGGACCCCGCGAGACCCCGCCCGCCGCGGGCCGGGGAGGCACCGAGATCCGCGCGAGCGCGGGGCCGGGGCGCGGGGCCGGGGCGCGGGCCGGGCCGGGCGGGGGTGGGCGAGCGGGGTCCCCGCGGCGCGCCCTGAGCCGCCCGCTCTCCCTCCGCCCGGCAGACAGACCGCGGCTGCCCGACAACTACACGCAGGACACGTGGCGGAAGCTGCACGAGGCGGTGCGGGCCGTGCAGAGCAGCACCGCCATCAGGTGCAACCTCGAGGAGCTCTACCAGGTGAGGCGGCGGCCGGGGCCGGGGGGTCCTGCCCCGCGTGACGCAGACGCGGCCCCGCGGCCGCCCCGGAGCCCGGGAGCCGGAAAGGCGGGGCGCCGGCCTCCTCCGCGGGCCGGGAGCCCCAGAGGCAACAAGTGGTTTTGTTTATTGCGGCGGTGGAATTTTTGTTTTCAGGCTTAAGCTGCTTAGAACGATATTTAAAGTTATCCCATTACAGAAGAGAAGGAGGTGTGTTTCTAGGAGCCACGTGACTCGTTTTGCAAGTATGCAGCGGATTGTTATTTCCCTCGTTATACAGTATATAAAACTGGTTACTGTGTCACTTCCCAGTGCGGGTTTTTTTTTTTTCTCTGCTGTGTTTTGTGATTAATGGTTGCCTTTAAGATAGTCAAACAGATTTTGTAGCGTTTAATTCAAAGTGATGGTGTTCTGTTTTCTAAAGTAGCAAAAAATGGCCCCAAGTACATTTTGCTACTTGGAGATTTCGTTTACAAGCGGACTTTTTTTCTGGCATCTTCTTTTGTAAGACAACGTTCATTAAGTAGTCTAATATCTACATTTTAGGGCTCAATGTGTCATACAATTACTTCTATTAACAGGCTTTAAAAAAAATCTTTTTCTGGATATGCAAGTGACTGCATTGTAAAAATTACAAAAAATACAAAAAAGAAAACTTAAATCACCTATAATCCTACCACCCAAAGAAAACTACTGTTAGGCAGTTTGGTGTACATACATCCATTCTTTGTCCTAAGTGTAAGTGGATTACGTGTTCATACCAGCTTTTTTGAGGCACAATCTGCATATAATGTGTATTTCAAGAAGTTTTAACAGATGTATACAGTTATGTAACCGGCCCCTCTTGGTAGACTGGTAGAATATTTCTACCACCCCCAAAATTGCCATGACCACTTTTGCAATGAGTCTTCTCCACTGACTCCCAGCCCTTGGCAATCCCCAAGGGACAAAATATAATGACATTTTGTCATTTCTAGAACCTTTTCTAAATGCAATCATGTGTTTTATCGTCTTTTGTATCAGGCTTCTTTCACTTAGGCCAGTGCTTTTGAGATTCATGCACACACAGTGTGATTGTGGTTTGTTTATTACCGAGTACAATGGGTGTACCACAATTGTTTTATCTGTTCACCAGTTAATGGACATTTGGGTGTCCATGTTTTGGGTTGTTTTTTTGTTTTGTTTTGAGACAGAGTTTCCCTCTTATTGCCCAGGCTGGAGTGCAGTGGTGTGATCTCACTCACTGCAACCTCTGCTTCTCAGGTTCAAGCAATTCTCCTGCCTCAGCCTCCCAAAGAGCTGCGATTACAGGCACCTGCTACCACATCCGGCTAATTTTTTATGTTTTTAGTAGAGTCAGGGTTTTGCCACGTTGGGCAGGCTGGTCTCAAACTCCCGACTTCAGGTCCGCCCGCCTTGGCTTCCCAAAGTGCTGGAATTACAGGCATGAGCTACGGTGCCCAGCCTTGGGTTGTTTTAAATAAAGCTGCTGTGAACATTTGTGAATAAGCCTTCATTTGGAAATATATTTTCATTCCTCTGAGGTAAGTTCTGCTTACTTTTATACTAGAGGTAAGTTATCAGGGTCATGTGGAAAATGTATGTTTATCTTTGTAGGAAATTCCTTGTTTTTCAAAGTGCTGCCCCTTCTGTGTTTCTCCCGGCAGTGTATGGGAGTTCCAGTTCCAGGCTGCTGCCGGCATGTGCTATTCTCAGCTTGTAATTTTAGCCGTGCTGGTAGGTGTGTGGTGGAGCGTCGTTGTGGGCTTGGTTTGCATTTCCCTCTGATGCCAAGCATCCTTGTACTTGCCATTCTATATCTTCTTTGACGAAGTGTCGATTTAAGTATTTTGCTCATTTTCATTGGGTTGATTTTCTTGAGTGTATGAGTTTGTTATGTATTCTAGATACAAGTCTGATACCAGATTTTCGCCTTGCTAATACTTTCTTTCTAGTCTTGAACTTGTCTTTTGATTCTCTTAACTGTGCCTTTGGAAGAGCAATAGTTTTAAGTTTTGAAGTCACATGAATCAGTTTGTTGTTCTATAAATTGTGCTTTTAGTATCTGAGAAATCTTGCTTAATCAATCTAAGGTCACGGAGTTTTCTCTTATATTTTCTTCCAGACATTGTAGGGTTTTAGGTTTAACATTTAGTTCTCTGATCTATGTAGGGTGAGTTTTTTTATGTATTGTGAAAGATAAATCTAGGGTCAGGGCCGGGGCTGGTGGATCACCTGAGGTCAGGAGTTCAAGACCAGCCTGGCCAACATGGTGTCTACTAAAAATACAAAAAAATAGCTGGGCGTGGTATCAGGCACCTGTAATCCGAGCTACTTTGGAGGCTTAGGCTGGAGAATCACTTGAACCCTGGAATTGGAGATTACATTGAACCGAGATTATGCCACTGCACTCCGGCCTGAGCAACAGCAAAGTGAGACTGCATCTCAAAAAAAAACAAAAACCTCTAGCGTTACTGTTTTTCCTGTAAATGTGGAGTTGTGCAGCCTCTTTTCCCCTGCTGATCTGCCTTTGCTCCTTTGTCAAAAATCATGTAGGAGTAGGTGGAGTGACTTGTGAAATAGGCTGTGCTGGCCCTCCACCTCATACGTTTGCACAGGTTTTTGGCTATTCTTGGTCCCTTGTGTTTCCATATGAATTTTAGAATCAGCCAATTTCTATTTAAAAAGTGTGCTAAGATTTTGATTGACGGTATATAGAATCTATAGATCAACCTGGGAGAGTTAATTTCTTAACAATATTGAGAGGCTGGGCACAGTGGCTCATCCCAGCATTTTCAGAGGCCAAGGTGGCCTGATCACTTGAGCCCAGGAGTTGGAGACTAGCCTGGGCAACATGGTGAAACCCCATGTCTACAAAAAATTTAAAAATTAGCCCAGTGGGGTGATGTACACCTATAGTTCCAGCTACTCATTCAGGGCCCCCACTCTGCAGGCTAGAAGCTCTCCATGCAGGAAGCTGAGCAGTTGGGGCCTGTTTGCCTCTCATCCTTCTGAGATTCACTCTTTCCTAGCCCAGTACCCAGTGCTTCAAAAACTGTTGCTTTGTATTTTTGTCTGATTTTTTGGTTATTTCAGGCAGAAGGTTAATATAGTTCTTTTACTGTGTCTTGACCAGAAACAAGAGTCCCACCTGAACCCTTATAGGTCTTTGGTTTAATAAAATGTGCTATCTTACAGCTAAGACTTCTTACTACTATTTTCCTGGAGATTTGGCTGTCATCTGCTGCCTCATTGTTTTTACTTAAAATGGTGGAATTAACCTTGCAACACCTTGTACGCAGTGATAGGTCTCATAAAACAATCACTGTAGATACTATGAACAATGTTTGCAGGTGCCTTGGGTGTCTGTCTTGAAACCCTGAGAACTAGGAATGCTAACCCCAAAATGACAGTCACTGGTTCCTCCTGGGTTGAAACATCGCAAATTCTAAGGGCATCTCTGGAGGTGCTGTCCCACCAGGGGACATGTGGAATCCATTGACTTACTCACCTGTGAGCACGTGCAGCTAGTCATTTCTCCACACACAGGTGGGATTCTGGCCTCTCACAGAGTCTGAAGCATGGGCTGCCTCTGGTGGATTGGAAGCAAGTAGGGTAGAAATGGTAAGAAAAGTAAATGTGAAGTTACTGATCTCTAATCATTTGGCTTGGTGTTTCAAAATAAAATCTGTCTTTGTATAGGTGGTGTGATGTATACTTTGCCAAACAATCTTGCGTGAAAGTACCAATTCTCACACACCCAAGTTTGCAGGGTTTGGTTGAGGGTTTGGTTTGGTTTTGCTCAGTCTCCCTCTAAACTCCTCAGGAGGCCTGTTAATGACTGTGTGGGCCTCCGCTGGTCTGTTGTTTCTGTTTGTTACTTATTTCCTTCTTGTCATTTTCCTTCTGTAATGTGTAGAGGAGAATGTTGTGAAGGCATAAACCTTTTCCCTTTAATGGCCTTAATTTATGTCTGTAATAACTAACTCCCTGAGGAAAGTGGATCTTCTGTGTCTTGTGTCTGTTTTAGTCCTACTTGTAGCTGAATGAGACAACAGAAAACTGAATACTGCATTTCTAGAAAGGATATGTGTTGATTTAGGACTGGTTTTTCTGTTTGTTTTTTGCACAAAAACAAGTCTCTCGGGCCTTTAAAAAAAAGAGAGAGGCGTGGCCTCCTGATGTTGTCCAGGCTGCTTGGGAACTCTTAAACGCAAGCAGCCCTCCTGCCTTGGCCTCCCAAAGTGCTGGGATTACAGGCATGAGCCACTGTACCCAGCTGACATACAAGTTCTGAAGAAAGCCAGGCCGTCTTTCTTGAGTCGCACAGTAGTTGTCTCCGTGACATCTTGATACTAGGTGATAATGGTCAGTGAAGGGGAGTGATTAGTCCTTTGTATGTGG